CCACCCTGCTGCTGCTGCTGCTGCTGCTACACGCACACTCCCGCGCAGCAGCAGCCGCAGCGGGTGCTGCAGCAGCAGCAGCAGCGAGTCCGCCCGCGCCTTCGCCGCCGCCGCCGCTGCTGCTGCTGCTGCTGCTGCTGCTGCTGCTGCAGGCTGTCAGTGAGCAGCAGCAGCAGCAGCTCTGGGCCCGCCGAACTTGCTGGCGTCTGCGTTGGGTTTGTTTTCGTAAAAAGACTTTTTTTGGAATTTAAAAATCCCAAAAAGATTTAAAAGAGAAGGAGCAGCAAAGAAGGAAAAGGGCAGCCAGGGTCTGTACAGCTGCGAGACATCGCGCAGGAAGTTCTGCAGCAGCACGAACCCGCTGCGCCCGCCAGCAGGCACCATCTTTGCTGCTGCTGCTGCTGCTGCTGCTGCTGCTGCTGCTGCTGCTGCTGCTGCGGTGGCTGCTCGGCGGCGGAGCGAGGGAGCGAGGAGGCCGGCGGGGAGAGCTGCTGCTGCTGCTGCTGCTGCTGCTGCTGCTGCTGAGGGGAAACAAATTTCGAAATTCCGCAAAATTCGCAAATTGCTGCTGCTGGGAGGCAGCAGTTGCTGCTGCTGCTGCTGCGCATGCAGGCCGCGGGCTGCCGCGTGCTGCAGCAGCAAAAGCAGCTGCTGCTGCTGCTGCTGCTGGCGTCGCCGCCGCCAGGCTGCTAGTAGCGCTGCTGCAGCAGCAGGCTTGACTTGCTGGAGCTGCTGCTGCACTTGGGCAGCTGTCTGTACACCCCAAATACATATTTTCGTTTTTCGTGCTGCTGCTGCTGCTGCGGGCGAGGGGTGCTTGCTGCTGCAGCGCCGGGTCTAGGAGGCCTGCAGCGCCGGAACCCCAAACCCGAAACCCTAAACCCTAAACCCTAAACCCTAATTGGCATTTTGGCTCGTTTTTAAGTCCAAGCCAGTGTGTGTTGCCACTGGGCCGCTGCGAAGCGGCAGCAGCAGCAGCTCCTACCCCGCCGGTCGCCAGCAGCAGCAGCAG